CTCTCTCACACACTCACACACACACACACTCTCTCACAGACACACTCACACTCTTTACCTCTTTTTGACCCTGAATTTTATTTGTTATATGTATACTACCATTCAAAAAGTTTATGGTCAGTAAGATTTTTTTTTTTTAATAAATATTTTTATTCATCAAGGATGCGTTAAATTGATCAAAAGTGTCAGTAAAGACATTTAAAATGTGACAAAAGATTTCTATTTCAAATAAATGCTGTTTTTTTTACTTTCTATTTGGGCTGCCCTCGACTAAAGATTTTTCTGGTCGACTAGTAGTCATTCGTTTGAAGCATTAGTCGACTAATCGCATGTTTATTAATAAACCATTTAAATCATTATAATGAGCCTTTAATAGCCTACATATAATAAGCACTCAAGCACACACGCAAAGCTTGCCACGGCACACCGCAGAAGTAATAATTATGAACGTGTCAGGAAAAACAGTAAGGAGTCTGCATTAACAGTTTAATAATTTATTGCTAAACTAGTGCTTTCTTTGTTCCCGGTTTAAGAGATGAAGTCAAGACTCGTCATCTCCGCAGTAGTGATGCGCCTGTCTTCATGTTTCATACGGATTACATCATCTGAGAATATTTGTTTTCCACTTGAATTGGATTATTTGAAAGTAGACATTTCGCTCTCTAGATATAATAAGAGTAATCGAATCTGTAAAGACTCTACGTTTATTTGTGTGCACTCACAATAACAACAAAACATTGAGCTTTTGTAATTTTGTAAAAGCAACAGGATGCACTTTCTGCCGTCTCGGTCTCCGTGAACTTGAGTGCAAAACACCAAAACTCTGTGTATGAAAAATATCTCTATAGAGAGTGAAATGTCTACTTTCAAATGAACCAATTCAAATAGAAAACGTGTGTGTGTTTGCATGGATGATTTACTTGAAGTTTAATGTGTGTGCAATGCACACTGTGCATTGTTTAAGCTGGCGTTCAATTCAACAAAATAACAAAAAACGACATTTTGGATTTTTATTTAACTTAAGTGGGCATGCTGTGATCTGCACTGTATTTTTACTGTGACAGATTCCGGCCAAAAAAACACAACACGGGAGTGGGAGGGAATGGGAGTAATTCTTCTGGGATTGGGACGGGAAAGGTTTGAAAATCCACTCCCGTGTCACCCTCTAACAGACACTTCAATAGCACACATTTCTCTAGGTTAACATTAGATTGAGCGGCCATGTAAAGATGCTGCTACTAACATATTTCAGATGATAAGCTATATTTGAGGTTGATGAATGATAGGCGAGCGTTTGGATGTCCTGCTCGATGTACTGTATTACCACATAGACCAGCCGCAGATAAAGTTTTGGTCACATGGCTTACTCGTAATCGTGATTATGATTTCTGTCGTAATCGAGCAGCCCTAGTGTCACCTGTGTGCAGTGATGTTGATCGATCTGTGTGTCTCCAGAAAACTCCAGCGGAGTCTCGCGAGCACAACCGTGAGTGCATCCTGCTCTCCTTCTTTGACGATCACGACATCTGGCACTTCCTGTCCTCCATCGCCATGTTCGGCTCCTTCCTGGTGAGTCCAGAACATCAGTCAGACTCGGAGAGCTGAAAATCATCATGTCAGCTAAACACCTGTGTGTGTGTCTGTGGTCTCAGGTTCTGCTCACGATGGACGACGACCTCGACACGGTTCAACGAGACAAAATCTACGTCTTCTGATGGACCGATACTAGCCAATCACAGAGGAGCACCCGGGGGGTGTCGGCCAATGAGAGGCCTCGCTACTTGAATATGTTTACCTGCCAGTCAGAGACGGTGTGGGAGGAGCCTCGTACGAGCGCTAATGCTGATAGGACAGTGAATGTGCCAGAGCTCCTCCCCTCATCATGTTAATCGCGTCAGACCTGCTCTGCAAATCTCAATGCACTTTTGTACCGGTGACGTTTCTCTGCGTTTGTGTCCGTCTGTGGCCTTCTGTGTGTGGTTCTGGACCGTGTGGTTCTGCCTGTAATCCGAGCCGAGCTGCTTCACTCATCTAAAGATGATTCCGATCTGAGAAAATCAACTTACAATTACAGATTGTGTTTTTACTAATGGAATGATTACTGAATAAAGACTTTTTACGGTTGTTTTCAGGCGTGAATTAATAATTACCACTCATTCGTAATTCATCCGTTTGTATAAAGTAGTGATGGGTGACACGGAGCAAAATAATTCAGGTCCAAAGACTACAGATGCAACGCTCAACATGGCCGCTCTATCGAACGAAGCCCCGCCTTCTGAGCAAAAGAGCCAATCGCTAATCGCTACTGTCACTGCAGCTGCCGTTAGAAGTCCCGGTTGCTATAGAAACAGTCAGTGTGTCCCATAGACTGTATAAAAACATGGACGTAGTGTCCGTGACGTCATCCGTAGTTTTCCGAAGAGAGTTTTTGAAGCTCGAAGTGGGCGGAGCTGGCCGTCGCCATCTTGGCAGTGCGTCACCGCCCGTCACTCCCGGATAATCGAAGATGGGCAAAGAGGCGGGAGCTGGTTGCTGAAACCACGCCCACCTAGCTCGACTGTGGGCAATCCACCTGTCACTCAAGAGGCCACGCCCTTAATTATGCAGAACTTTAAAGCTTAATATAATTTAAACGGATGAGTTATTAAAAAATTCACCCCCTCACAGTTATCATGAAGGGCAAAATTAGCTATATAGACCAAAATTATTTTTTGAACCAGGCTGTAAACATGTTTTTTTCTGCTGTAAAGTTGGGCATTTTAACATGAGGAGTCTATGGGACTGACTCTCTTCTGCAGCCAGCCTCTAGCGGCCAGTTGACGAATTACAGTTTAAGTCACTTCGGTTGAGACGTGCGCCTAGGACTGCGCATGCGCACACTAGCCTGAGACAAGCTTTTTATAACGCTATTTGAGCGAAATAAACAACATTTATGAGACAGTTGTTGTCAGATTAGTGATTTCAAATATGAAATTGAATCATAAGCTTGGCGACCAGTTTTGGAGAATTTGATGTTCCCCCATTCAAAGAGAGAGGACTTTGTTTCGAAGAAATTATGAAGAAAACGGAGACGGCTAGAAGCCAAGCATGAGCAGCTGTGTTATGTTTTGATATTTATGCATCATTCCGTTATGAATTCAAAAAAGTTGATTCATGTAAAATCTAATACCCGCCCCGAGGTATTACAAATGTTCCAGCCGTGTTTCTTAAATTATACCTTAACTACAACTAATCACTCTCGCATGTAAATGAACTCTTGCTTAATTGATATAGTTTATCATCAGGAACAGCGTCTTACCTCAGCACAGCTCCTGTCAGATTCCCGCGCTCCTGCTCCTCCAGTTTAACGGTTTTTGTCACGTGATCCATTCAAACGTTTAAAAAAAAACGTTTATATTCTACAACTTCAATACAAGTGTAGGTTGATGTAATTGAGGTATTTTCATTATTTGATTATACTATTTGAACTTTTTCGTCAAACAGACTTGCTTTTTTTGATATTTCAGATATGTAAAGCACACATTTAGTCATTTAGCAGACGACTTACAAATGAGGACAGGTGCTTTAGTTCATTATTTTGAGATTATAAGTTAGCCTACAACAGAAACCGGAGAAAACTAACACCTGCATCAAGTATTAAATTCATTTATTGTTTACAAAAATATGGTACAGATGAGATCTGCACATTGCACACAGCTATACAGATGAGAATGTAAACTAGACTGGTTTGTGAAAGCGCCTGTAAGCGTATAATCCTGCCGTTCTTCCAGCTCTTACACACGAGACACGGCCGATCTTCAGCCGTCCTGAGAAACTGCTTCAGTAATGATGAACTTTAATCTGGTTGTTGTCGTCGAGGCTGAGCTGAACTAACCCACCGCTGCTGGACGCGCTTCTGAGGCTCGGGAACAGAGGACTGAGTGTGTGACGCTCAGGAAAACACAGAGAGAGAGAGTGTGTGTGTGTGTGTGTGTGTGAGTGTGTGTGTGTGTGTGTGAGTGAGTGTGTGAGTGAGTGTGTGAGTGAGTGTGTG